CATCAGCAGCAGCGCTGGTCAGCATCCCATAGCACAAGGAAACCACGGGGAAATAAAATCAGTGAGTCACGCATTGAATCAATGCTATATTGGTCTCTAATAAGTTTTTTTCTGATTTGATTGATCCATCTGTATCATGCTAGGGTAATGTGTTTAACACGTGAATCCTTACTAAAAATGCAGTTCTATAATGAGCCGTTGGCATGAATTGTCCTCGTGATAGAGCGGTAGTGGAGCGCGCTCGGAGCAAGTGAAAACCACAACGCTCTGACTTTTAAAAAATCCGCTCCGCACTCCATTCAAAATCATGCCGCTCCCACTCCAGTCCGCTCACATACTCTGGTCGAGTTCATAGCCGTGGAGATTGTCTTGGACGGGGTGCAGCAGGCAATCAGATGATCTTCTAGAAAATAACATGCAATGTGTCACAGAGCCAACAATGTTACATAGAATTTACAATAGGACAAATGGTTTATTACAAGGAAGCAAGCTAGAGCAGAGATGAAATGCAAAAAATAAAGAATATAAAAAATCCTAAGGTAATATATTGTGCAATAAATGCAAATTATTATCATGATAAACAATAATTCCCCCTTTGTTGTGGAGGGTTTTTTTCTCTTCCTCCTGAAATCACTTATTATCAATCTTTGTAAGTGACGTCATTAACAGTACGTTACAATGAATTATTTCAGGTTAAATAAATTAGCTTACTTCCCACCCACTGACAAATTACCAGCAAAACAAAACTATCAAAAACTGTTAACACAAAAATGTGGTTAAACCCAAACTTATGTAGAACAAGAGCTCAATTGTAACGTAAACTTAACTTAACGTTAAATTAGCTCTTCTGAAAACGGAGATGCTAACAGACTTTTTCCGAAGACACAAAACCATTTCTATAAAGTAAATATTCAACAGAAGTGTATCAATTACACGTAAGAAAGGTGTCCGGAACGTTTATATGTATTATTTGAGTGATTTTGGTAACTAAACTCACCTGAAAACAGAGAAAACAGTGAGAGACGCTAGTCTTGCTGTTTGTCAGTTGATGAGGTTTCCTCGTTTCCATGGTTTCCATCTGCTCGTGCGCTCCTTTCAATCAGATAGCTTTTGCGACTCAATGTTTACGCGCACGTACGCCCAAAAACGTCAAAAGACACGCAGCATTTAAATAAACATCTAGAATTATAACATTTAACAATTTAAATATCTTGTAAAAAAGGGGCCACAAAATCGATCCAAATAGCGGGGTTCGATTTGTGGTGAAGGTTTCAAGTGCGTTCCGTCTTTTCCAAGCAAAGTGTTTTTTTAATTAAATGCGACACATTTAATCTTATGTATTAACTCGTTTCATCTGACTCCACAAAATGAAAAAGTGTTTATCAATGATATCTGTGCATCATTTAATACGTTAATGCTTGAAGGTATAGCGGAGGATCTTTCCGAATTTTAGAGAAGACCCGCCCTCTCCATTTTAAAAAAAAAAATGCACATGCACAAACACAACACTCTTGCTCCCGAGAGGGAACGTCTATTACGCCTTGCACAATTATGTTGCAAATTCTAAACTAACTCAAAAATATTCATAAAAAAGACAACATCTCAAATGCCCTTCCGTGTTCTATTTACTTATTATACTGATCGATTGAGTGACCGAGGACTCAAGACATGATATGTGCAACCCTGTATCACACGAAATACGTTCTGAGGAAACTATTTTGCAAATCGCAATTACGTTACATAGCAACATATAATCAGTGCTATTACGTTGGTCCTTAACCTAATATCTCTCATTGTTAATACGTTATTTTTATACATAGTTGCATATGGAGAAGTAGCTTGTTGCATTTGTGTAATAATAAACACAAAAGGTTTTAGAATATTTCAGCGTGATACCATTTACCATTTTGGTCAAAAGGCTACTTTAGACAAATTGAGATGTTTACCGTGTCTATGCGGTGCATGACTCGTGCCAGGGCTAGCATTGTAGCTTGCATTAACTTTTACTAGTGATTTTAAATGGATTTCTCCAAATAGCGTGACAAACTTTACCTGTCTGGTAGAATCTTCGCGACTGCGGCATCAATGAGAAGCCCAACCTGTGCTTTTAGCGCACGCCAGCGTGTGATTCACCCAAAATCACTCTGGTCTTGTTTCTATATTCTGAGGCCTTTCTCTTCTTATCATACACTTCGTAAACATTTTTTCTCTTTCGACCCTCACCCATTTTCAAAGGAATGGCTGAAACCGTAACTCTGACATAATACACCTGAAAGTGAAAACTACATAGGGATGAGCACGTAGCCTACGACGGCCTTACGTAAACATATCACCAGAATGATTGACACTTAGGTGGACCAATAGTATAGACTACCCACCCGGAAAAAGAAAATCCTCCGCTATACCTTTGACTTTCTTATAACTCTAATGAAAATAAAGTCAAAGTCTGTTAGAATAGCCAAATATAACAATTTATTATGTCAGGTAAATGTATTATTACAGTTCCACAAGATAATCAGAGCAAACCATCAATTGTTTTAGGACAAAGATACTTTACCCAACATATTAACTACATGAGCTGAGTCTCAAAGACACAGCATCATGGGCTGATCTGATACAGAATAGCAGCCCTGAACTCTTGTGCATTTTCCTTAAATAGAGCTAGACCTGATCCAATCACCAAATTTACCTGATTTAATCACCAAACTACAATGGACTGAATCCCCCACCATGCTTACTATGGGAAGGAGAGTTTGCATTCAGACAAAAGGTAGAAGGTGAATAACTCAAAGACATACCCTTTTGTGTGCAAGATATTTCTATATTCTTAAACCTTATTACCTTTTCTTTTACTTCTTTGGAAATGAGACATTATTACCAGTCACCCTGAGACTTTTGAAATGATTCTAAACAGTCCTTAAAGATGATCACATTCACATTAAAAACACATATTCTTGTTCAAGCAAGGTCCTCTTGTCTTCAGAAGACACTGGTCACTAATTACATCAACCAGTTCCAGTTTTCCAGTCTTACAATACCAATCTTTCATTTGAAAGTCATGTGTCTAGTATCTGTAAAACTGCAATTCCATCTTAAAAATATATCTAAATTACGCCATATGCTCTCATTAAAAAATGCGGAACAATTCGTTAATGCGTTCATGACCTCAAGGCTAGATTATTGTAATGGTCTACTGGGTGGGTGCCCTGCACGTTTAATAAACAAACTACAGCTAGTTCAAAACGTTGCAGCTCGAGTTCTTACCAGAACCAGGAAGTATGACCATATTAGCCCGTATATTCTTCAGAAAACACTGGTCACTAATTACATCAACCAGGTCCATTTTTCCAGTCTTACAATCTTTAATTTTAAATAATGAATTTAAAACTCATTGTAGTTCTCATTCACTTGACAATTATGTTTTTTTTATACCATTTTGCTAATGTAAGCAATTTTCAAATTTCAATTGCAGTTTCGTTGCCAGTAAGTCATAAAATTACCAAGTAATTACAATTAGAGCACGTATCTGCGACGTTGGTTATCTTATAACCTTAGGAGGACGTACTGATGACTTTGTGAGTTGGTAATATGATGGTAATGAAATTACGAGCATACGACGTTGTAGTTACGTTGTCAATTGGTAAGTCATGAAGTGACCAAAAAGTACGAATATATTACGTAACTGTTACGTCGTGTGTTAGCTGGGAAATAGCTTTGTTTTAGTATTTGATTTAAGTTGATATTTACAATAAATATTGTATGGCTACAGTGTAAAGGGAATGCTGCTGGTTTAAAGCACCTTATTTGTTTTCAAGTTTTTGCACCCCTAGCCACTATGTTAATAAGCAACTGAAAAAAGCACAAATCTCAGGGCATGTCAAAACATCTCAAGGACCCTAAAAACACCTTAGACCCGAGGGTTATTCTTGTGGGCCTGGACTTCTTGTTCAGACACATGGCATCATGGAATCAAGTAGCAATGGATAAAAAATCAAAACCTGACTAAATCTGCTACAAATCTTATATTGGGACTTGTGTGATTCTTCCATCAGAGCAATGATCCAAAACAAACATAATCAACAACAATAAAAAGGGTAACTGAGCACAGAATTAAGGTTCTGCCATAACCATCCCAGTCCTCTGAACTGAACCCTATTGACAACTGAAGAGGAAAGTGTATCAACATGGACCCAGGAATGTGAAGGATCTGGGGGAGTGATCTCTGATCTCCAAACATTATAATCATTATTGAAGAATACTCTGTTAGAAGAGCTGTTATCATGACAAAAGGAGGTTGCAAAAAGTATTGAACAAAAGAGTAGAATTATTTGTTGGCCAATGTGAATTAAAGAAACATTTCATAGTGAGATTTCCCCCTCGTTTCAGTTGTTTTACTTCAATGAATGGATAGGTTTTTGTGACTTGTTATTTGCCAAGGGTGCCAATAATTCTGACGACTACTATATGTACTCAAGTAATACATGTGTCTTTGAAACGCAGTGTAAATATGAAGTTAAACCTGCCTCCTGATAGGTTTAATTCAGCTGTATTCAGCTCAAACTCTGCTACAGTAATATAAGCAGCATGTATGTGTGTGGGTTGTGAGAGATTAAAATGCTTTGTGGTGCTCCCTTAAAATGGAAATATCTATATAAATCTAAATATATCTAAAAACAAATAATTATAAATCTTTTGCACAAAAGCAACAAGAACTAAAACAAAATAAAAACTATTTACAGGCAGAGTTTCTAATTATAAAATGTTTTTTACAGCATTGTGCAAGCCAATCACAGTTTATTTCTTGAACGCAATGGCCAATCAGATGCATTATAAAAAGATTCATTGTGTGATTCAAGGCACCTAACCCCCAATCGCTCCCCAAGCCCTGCAGAAAAAAATGGCTGGGTGTATTCACTGTGTGTGTGTGTGCATTGGATTGTTGAAATGCAGAGTACAAATTCCGAGTATGGGACATCATTATTTTTTTGTGCCTTTTTTAGGTTTCTGCGGATGTTCTTAGAGTGTTGTCAGCTGCCGACTCTGAGGCTGTGGTGCTGTTTTGTTGTGGGGCTGTCAGGTTCCTGGACTCATTGCTCGCTTCCCCACAACAGCCTATAGAAGATGTTTTGGCAGAGGAAGAAATTATCAGGTCAGAGATTGCAAACTATTCACTATATCTTTTTTCAGTATGGCCGAAAGGATTTGTGGGGCCGATTACTGGAAGCTGAATCACCCGATACCGATCACCCTAACAGGGTGTATTTGTAGCCTTCTATTTATCATGTAGCATTATTTATTACAGTATATTTAACAACAATGTACATTAAGTATTACAATTAAGAGAAGACAACACATCATGAATTCACAACTGTGTATTTTTTTGCAAGCAACATGATGCAACCAGCATATTGACAGCCTGTGCTTGGTTATTAGGAACAGTTAGGGCTTGACAAATATAACTTTCCTGTAGAATATAAAATAAAAAAGATAAAATACAGAACATCTGAGCCTTTAAATTTAGCTTTAGACTACTTAACTAAAAACTGCAACAAAAAAGACTATAGCCAAAATATTTTTGAGTCAGTCAGCCATCAGTTTTTCTAATAAACTTAAAGGACCACTGGTAACAAAGTGCACAGCAACAAAAAATACAAATAACTAAGAACTTCTATATCTGTATCTATGTATAACTCCTTGCTCAGTCAGATTTGGGCATTTAGAGAGGGAGAGTGAGGTAGAGAAAAGAGAAGAGGGAAAGAGGTTATTAGACTGTGATCTCTTCCAAAACTAACTAACTTAAGCATTAATGGCAGATTTTTCTTTATAAATATAAGCATCTCATCATCATTTTTGGCTGACAACTTATTCCTTTTTTCATCTATAATATTCCCTGCTCTGCTAAAAAGCCACTCGGTATGAACACTTGTGCACGGTGAACAGAGGTAGTTTCGTCCTGCTTGTGCGAGAGCCGGAAAGCAGCTTTTATTGTTCTGCCAATAAACAAGTGGCTGTCTACTTTGTGTTATAACTGGCTCTGACAGGTAGAGATTGATTTGAAATGATACTGAGCTGTTGTCACTGCCACCACATTCCTGATCTCCACCCAACAACTCAGTATACATTGCATGCAAGGAGCCAGTTCGTGGTACTTTCTCTGGGGGTCCGGCTCCAGACCCGCTTGCAGCTAAACTCTCCTCTCTCTCCTGCTGTTCCAGTCCAGTGGCCAGACATCAGAAAGCAGCCCACGTATCTGGGGCTTGACTGCGTCAGAGAAATACCTGTCTTTGTACCTTTTATTAACAAGAAAACAAAACATTCATTAATTTATTTGAACTGTATATTAATTTGTCAAGTCAGAATCAGAAATACTTTAATAATTGGGTTACAGTTGCTCCATGTTAGAAAAGAAATAAGTAACAGCAAAGAAATAAGAAAAATGGAATCTTTATTAAGAAATGTTCTATTTAATTTAGAAGGTTATGATTAGTCAGCCTAGCATACTCCATAAAGTTTTTTTTTTTACTCTTTAGACTTAACTCTTCTAAATGCTTATGTTTACAGAAAATGTAACGTAACTTGAAGGAAATACCAGCCTACACAAGACACAATTACACTATTTATTTCAGTAATAGCTCCTTATTAATCATGTAGTCCAAAGATACCTTCTAAGGAGCCTACTAGAATAGTCAAATATACGGTGGGGCCAAAAAGTATTTAGTCAGCCACTGATTGTGCAAGTTCTCCTACTTAGAATAATGAGAGAGGTCTGTAATTTTCATCATAGGTACACTTCAACTATGAGAGACAAAATGAGAAAAAAATCCAGGAAATCACATTGTAGGAATTTATTTGTAAATTATGGTGGAAAATAAGTATTTGGTCACCCACAAACAGCAAGATTTCTGGCTCTCACAGACCTGTAACTTCTTTAAGAAGCTATTCTGTCCTCCACTCGTTACCTGTATTGGCACCTGTTTGAACCCGGTATCTGTATAAAAGACACCTGTCCACAGCCTCAAACATTCACACTCCAAACTCAACCATGGCCAAGACCAAAGAGCTGTCGAAGGACACCAGGAAGAAAATTGTAGACCTGCACCAGGGTGGGAAGAGTGAATCTACAATAGGCAAGCAGCTTGGTGTGAAAAAATCAACTGTGGGAGCAGTTGTAAAAAAATGGAAGACATACAAGACCACTGATAATCTCCCTCGATCTGGGGGTCCACGCAAGATCTCATCCCGTGGGGTCAAAATGATCATGAGAACGTTGAGCAAAAATCCCAGAACTAGACGGAGAGACCTAATGAATGACCTGCAGAGAGCTAGGACCAAAGTAACAAAGGCTACCATAAGTAACACACTACATGAGAGGGACTCAAATCCTGCAGTGCCAGGCATGTCCCCCTGCTTAAGCCAGTACATGTCCAGGCCTGTCTGAAGTTTGCCAGAAAGCATATGGATGATCCAGAAGAGGATTGAGAGAATATCATGTGGTCAGATGAAACCAAAATAGGACTTTTTGGTAAAAACTCAACTCGTCGTGTTTGGAGGAAGAAGAATGCAGAGTTGCATTCCAAGAACACCAAACCTACTGTGAAGCATGGGGGTGGAAACATCATGCTTTGGGGCTGGTTTTTCTGCAAAGGGGACAGGAAAACTGATCTGTGTTGAGGGAAGAATGAACGGGGCCATGTATCGTGAGTTTTTAAGCCAAATCCTCCTTCCATCAGTGAGAGCCTTGAAGATGAAACTTGACTGGATCTTCCAGCATGACAATGATCCCAAACACAACGCCCGGGCTACGAAGGAGTGGCTCCGTAAAAAGCATTTCAAGGTCCTGGAGTGGCCTAGCCAGTCTCCAGACCTCAACCCCATAAAAAATTTGTGGAGGGTGTTGAAAGTCCGTGTTGCCCAGCGACAGCCCCAAAACATCATTGCTCTAGAGGAGATCTACATGGAGGAGTGGGCCAAAATACCAGCTACAGTGTGTGCAAATCTGGTGAAGACTTACAGGAAATGTTTGACCTTTGTCATTCAAGGTTATGTTAAAGTATTGAGTTGATCTTTTGTTATTGACCAAATACTTATTTTCTACCATAATTTACAAATACATTCTTACAATGTGATTTCCTGGATTTAATTTTTATTTTTTTCATTTTGTCTCTCATAGTTAAAGTGTACTTACGATGAAAATTAGAGACTTCTCATCATTCTAAGTAGGGATCGACCGATATGGATTTTTTAGTGCCGATACCGATACCGATTTTTTTCCCCATCAGCCTTAGCCGATGACCGATACGGGCTGCCGATTTTCTTGAGCCGATATTTGGAGCCGATACATTTTGCTCCCTCAATTTACATCTTAAAAATAACATGATGTTAACAAATGTTACAGGTCTCAATTTAATAAAAGTAACATTTAACTAACTTCAAAAATTAATATTTAACAAATAGTAAAAACATGAAGTAGAACAAAAGAAATTCAGTGCTGAAAATGAATATTTAAGCATAAATTAAATAATTACACTATTGCACACAGTAGCAACCAGCATAATAAAGTGCACAGTGCACACTGTACTTCATTTTAAAAGAAACGAACTATGTACTGCATGGTTTCAATTTTCCTACATAAAATAAAATGAGCATGTCTAGTCTCTAATATTACTGCGATTGCGAGGGAGACAAACTCCACACGCCCCAAACCTCAGCCAGGTGAGCGCTGAATAAATCTCCCACAAAAAGCACAGAATAACGTTGGCATTCCTTAATCCTATGACCAGAGTTCGTTACAGCACCCGTATGCATACTAGGGCTGTCAAAATTGCTCAAATGGCGTTTGCATATTCCCTCTAAAAAACATATTCGAACATCCCGTTGCGCGTTTTGTTGTTGACGCGCATTACATCAATAACAGGACACATTAATAAAAAGAGACATAACTACTAGTATTAGATGGTTTATTTGAGTTTAAACATATTTGACAACGTATTAAAAAGCAAGTAAATCAACTAATGGCCAAGACCGCAGAGCTCACTCTGTCTCGCCCTGGACTCGCTCAGGCACTCTCTCTCCCTCTCGCCCTCACGGTCTCTGCGCGTCGGTTAATGAACAACAAACAAATGTTGAGTGCTAAACAAGAGTTTTGTGCAAGCAATTTAAGGTTGCGAGTCGCGACTCTTGTCCCAAATATAGCAGGCTTCAGTTCATTCAGTGACTTGAAGTTTCACAGTATATATAACCGACAGTGAGCGCTCCGAGCGAGCTGTGCAGCTGTGGTAACTATTAGTCTGCAACCGCGGGCGTGTTTTTCCACATGCAAATATTAATTTTCACCTTCAAAATTAATAGATATTCGAATGTAGAATATTCATAGACAGTCCTAATGCATACTGAACGGATAACCTACACCTTAAATATTTGCAGCTTCTTAATACAATGGCAAGCAGTTAAGTTTTATAGACGAGGCATTCGCGTTTTCCATTTGGACCCACAAACTTGCTTAGTTGCAAGCACATAACAGTTATAGGGCGACGTGTTTCCATTTTCAAAGTGTTTGACAATATTTCAGGAGTCAAACATTTAAAAGATCCTTTGAAAGTTTAAGTTACCATTCTCGTGAAGAGCAGGTTGCACTCTGCTAGTGGAGGAGGGCGGGGCACGTGAACTGCAGCATCTCCAGCAGCACGGAGCTGCCCGTGGCCGCCAGTCTATAAATAACGGCGGGGAAAAAAAAACTATCGGCGAACGCGCAGCGGTGTATCGGCCGATTCCGATACACGTAAAAACCTCAAATATCGGCCCGATATATCGGCCGGCCGATATATCGGTCGATCACTAATTCTAAGTAGGAGAACTTGCACAATCAGTGGCTGACTAAATCATTTTTGCCCCCACTGTGTGTGTGTGTGTGTGTGTGTGCGCGCATATATATCGTTAAACACAGCAGGAGAGAACGCAATGTTAGCCAGCTAAAGCCTAGTTCACACTACATGATTTTAAAACGTCGGGCTGAACTGTGCGGTTCACACTACATCACTTGCTCTCAGTGAAATCAGGAGTGTTCAAGTTTTTAGCTGTTCACACCACACAACACAACGTGATTGATCCACAACAGGAGGTAACTCACTACACGAGTTGACAACGCACTAC